TGTTAAAGGGATCGTCACAGGATATAAGCTGTTCCAAGTAAAGCTGCCTTTTGCAATTGACTGATGGTGATTTTGTCAATGCTGATGGTGTTCAAGTGGTGCTCCAGATGTTTTGAGATTGCACTTAAGACGTCTATTACTACTGGTAATAAATAAGTATTGGTATAAATAAATAAATAAATAATAATTAATTAATAAGTAATAGTAATATTACTATTATTATTATTAGGAAGCTGGATAGGATTTTTTGGGGGGTCAAACTTTCTAGTGAGATTGATTGTAGGCTATTCAGGCTGTTATTGTAGTTCTATTTTGCTTGCTTTACATTTAATTGCTAGGGAGGCAATTACTTGTTATGGATATTGATATTTTAAAAAGGGATATTGGAAATCAGTCCCCAAACTTAGGAATACCCATACCCAGATCATTTCCAGAAGTTGCTCCCAAACTGTAATTTGTAATGTGACAGAAGATGGAAATTGTTAAGTCCATGGGAAGTAGCTATATTAAATGAATTTAATTAATTTAAATGAATTTTAGTTGTATTCAAATGAACTTTAGCCAATTTACTTCTTTCCTGTCTAAGAAACAGGCCATTCAATGACCAGGTTTGGCTTTTAACCCCAAAGAACCCCCAGTGTATGAGAATTACAGTTGGTTCATTGCTGAGTACTTAGATGCGTTTTAAGAAGGAAAAAGGGCTCCTGGACTGTCTGGGGTTCTGGGACTGGGGTGGGGAAAGGAATATTTTTAGGGGACTCAAAGAATTATGGTCCAAGACACCATCTCTTAATATTTGAAGGTATGACTGAGAGCCAAGTCATTCATCCGTCACAGTCATCTTGATTATCACTCTACACATTTACCATTGCAGATCTTTAATTTAATTCAGTGTTCTCAGATGACACATCTCCTGCATGTAGAACAACCAGATTTAGGATGCGAAAGAATGTTCTATATCTCTTTGCTGCTACTTAGTGGCCATCAGGATTTTTGCAGCATAGATCTGGTAGCCCTACGTGCATATGTTGCCTCTTCATTTCTGGTAATGGTTGCAATTGCGTTCCCCTTCGCCTCTTTCTCTCAGAAATAAAACTGAGTTTGCATGGAAAAATCACTAATTATAACAAAGAAGTTGATATAATTCTTAGTGATTTTCCATGCAAACCTGAGAGAATAGAAGGAGTTTGGTTTTTTGAAGATGGGTTCATAATTATTAGAAGCTGAGTAGATTTTATTTTTTTATTTTATTTTTTGCCAGCCCAATTAATTGTTTGGTATTTCTTCCCCAAGGCTTGGGTTGTTAGAACATGTGAACTGATATGTTTCAAAGGGTATTTTTTTAAAGCTGAGGCCTGTTGAATTTAAAAAGAAGAGGAATTTGTATATTTTTGATACCTCTTTAGGACTCCTCAGTGATAAAAGGGAAAACAATTATAGAGGAAAATGAATTGAAGTTGTAACCCCTTGTTTATTTTTGATTTATGCTGGAAAATGATGCTAAGAGTTTTATAAGGTAAATGTTTATTTTCCACTAAATAGAGAAGAGTTTATATTTGTATAAAAGAGTTTATCAGAATTCAATGAATTCATGTATAAACAGACAGTTAAACCTGAAGTTTAAAGTGGTTCTTAATCAAGATAAAGCAGTATTCAGTTCATATGGGGGGGGAGTACTAGCTGAAAACTCCATCAAATTCAGCTTAACCCTCTGGATTATGGGGAGTTGACCAGATATGAGAGATTCAAAGTACCCCAAACAGAGAAGAGTGAAGGCAGAAAGATCCCTTCCATTTTCTTTTAAAGTGAAGGAAGAAAGAGGAACTAGGACTTGAAGGTGAGTTACAGCTTATAGGTATACCTAGCTGAGTGTGGCTGATTGAGAAGCTAAGCAGTATCCAACCTGATTAATACTTGGGTGGGAGACCATCAAGGAATATCAGTGCAATAGGCTAGACTGTGAAGTGATTATTCTAGAAGAAGAAAATAGCAACCACTTCCATACTGATGCCAAAGAAACTACATAGATCATCAGAAGTCATGCTCAACTTCACTTTTTTTTTATCATCTTCCCTTTCAAAAATGTAATGTCTAACCTTTCTCTCTACTCTCTCCTCTGTTTAAGTATTTGGCAACTAACTTAGGTTTGGATGCAATTGGATTTGGCTACTTGCAATCATTCTTTGGGATTCTTCAGCTTCTGGGTGGCCCCATCTTTGGAAGGTAAATATAAAGTGTTGTCTTATGAGCTCTTGTGGAATGGCAGAATTGCCCTAAATAAATAGTATTACTTTTAACATAGGAAAATAATTTAGTTTTAGCAACCATTTCAATTAAACATCCAGGATAAAACTGAATAGGGAAAAAGCTGAAGAATGGGGGAAAATCTGAAGAATTGAGGGTTGGACCTCCAGGGTCCCTTCCAACCCTATGATTCTATGAATATTCTCTATTGTGTATCAACTACTTAGAGCTTTGATAGAGCAAAATTGCCTTCCTCAACCTGGGTGTCTTCAGATGCATGGATTTCAGCTCACAGATTTTCCCAGCAAGCATGGTCATTGCTGAGAATTCTGGGAATTGAAGTTCATGCAGCTAGTTCCCTCTAAGTTTGGGGAGCATTGGAGTAAGGCTACTGATGCAGATGACATGAGTTGATCGGAAGGACTATATGGGGAGACTTTGCTTGTGAAGGTAATTTAGTAGTCTGTGTTATTTCCTAAAGTTTTCAGGATCACATATATTTAGAATGATTCTGATCATCTGTTTTTAATAGGTACTCATCAGTCCTAATGGATATGTGTCCAATATTCCAGAAGATTGGATGGATGGATGGATGGATGGATGGATGGATGGATGGATGGATAGATAGATAGATAGATAGATAGATAGATAGATAGATAGCCATCCAAATTTCTTGGAGATCAGGTTGGTGGTTTCCAGTATGATGGATTCTGCTTTTATTATTGTAGGCTCAGTCAATTTCTAAATATACTGCATCATTCTTCTTCCAGGTTTGCTGACCAGTTTGGAACCAGAACTGCCTTGACTCTCTCATATTTGGCTGGATCTCTGTGCTTCTTGCTCCTCTCTATGTCCATCAGTGTCCCCCTACTTTTTCTTTCCAGAGTTCCAGCCATCTTCATTCATGGATTACCAGGTAATGTTACAAGATATACAAATCCAGGAATCAATTAACTCCAGTTACCTTGGTTATTAGTTGAGCATGCAGCTCTTCACTTGTGAACACAGAAAGATGCTTGGTAGTTCAATGAAAGCTTGCTATTTTCCACTCTCTTCATAGGTGCACAGATGGTTATAACAGATTTGACAACTCTTGCCAAACGTCCCGATGCTTTAGGAAAGCTTGGACTTTGTTTTGGAATAGGAGTAATTCTTGGATCTTCCCTGGGTGGTATCTTAACCACAAACTTTGGGTGAGTAATCTTATAGTCATATGAGTAGTTGTGTTTGTATGGGTAGTCATATTTCAGCTATCAATTGGGATCATACTTGATCTGTTAAGAAATGCCTTATTCTGTGCCTAGCTACCAGTAAATAATATGAAACTGAGTGGAAAAACATAAAGGAAAGGATTGCTCTGTGTTGAGAAGGAATAAAGTTCTATCTAGTACCCCCCGCAAAAAAAAAAAAAAATGGTCTGCATTTTTAACTACTCCTTCCATTTGCTGGAAAAGAAATGATTCTGAATTTTTTTTCTAGGAACAAAAAAACTAGATAAAATTCTTATGGATGGAATGTGGAATTCTTGCATTTGCCCTTGTTACCAGCAGCTGAAAGTTTATGTGTGTGTTCACTCTTTCACCCTACAATAATTTCTCCAGTAGTTTGTAGCCTTTCTAGTTTCTAATGTTTCAGTGTAGTTCCAAGAGAAAAAAGGAGGGAATTCCTTCCATTTTTTTTTTTTAAACCAGACAGCATTAGCAGGCAAGGAGGCTGTAAAATGACAGAGAAACATCTAGCATAAAACAGAAACAAAACAACCACAATGGCTCTCTTTATGATCTCCAAAATAAAGGAATTCAGCACACTAAGAATGAGCTAAAAAATCAAGGCCTGTTTTGCAGGTAAACAGAACATTTGGAAAACTGAAAGGTATTTTTACAGTTTTCATTCTGATGTAACACCTTCTAGATCAAGTTTCTTAACACCTTCTAGTTTCTCAGCCTTGGCAGCTTAAAGATGTGTGGACTCCAATTCCACACATCTCCAAGCTGCCAAGGTTGAGATATACTGTTTTAGAGTGTTGGAGTTTAGAACAGCTTTACTCAGCCTCCAGGGTACTGGATTACAATTCCTATCAACTATCTTCAGAATTTTGGCTAAGGGTGTAGGACAACATAACTGGAGCAGACTAGATGAAGAAATGCTGCATTTACTAGATAAGAAGTTATGATTTTTCTCCTAAATAATTACTTGTGAATTGGGAATGGGAATGGTGAGTTGTGTTACATTTACATAGGAGATACCTGGAAAACAAGATAATAAGGGACATGCAAGTGACTGTACATGTTGAAGATTTGCTTGGGAGTGGCAGTTTGCCTGGTGAATTTAACTCTTTTTGTAACAACCAGTCTTACTTGGTTTGACTTGACCTCTTCTCACCTCTCTTGCTGCTTTCTCTTTTCTCTTGCCATCCAATGGTTTCTAGGAGGTGTATATGCAAACATATAATAAATATGCACACATATACACAAGTGTGTCACATGCACAGATTCATTGGAGGAACAGAGTGGGAAATGTCCATGATAGATTTCAAGTAGAGTTGTTAAGCTTAGATTAACTAAATAGGGAAGCTGCCTACTGTACAGGATTTTATCTCTGTTTATTATTTTTATATCTATCTGTTTGGAGAAGTCCTCTTCCTTCTGGGCCCAACTAAGGGGAAGCACCTAACCAGCCTTGGCTGATCTTGAAAAAGCTAAGTAGAGTCAAAATTAAATGATCATTGGATGGGAGATAACCAAGAAATACTGTAAGCTAAACTGAAAATTCATCAAGAATACATCTTGATGGAGGGCTGTAGCAAACCAATTCTGTATGTTGCAAGAGGTACATGGATGTGTCTATGAAATCAACTCAATGAGCTCTTTGCTTTCACCTTTTTACTAGCTGCCAGTATGGAGACAATTCTTCATCAGTAGAATCTGAGAGGTGCAGATCCCAGGATCTATTCTTCTGGGAGGATTAGAAATATGATAGGAGATTAATCCCAGCAGGCTTAAAAATGACAAAGCAATGTTGAACTGCTCGAGTATTTGCCTTTTATATGTTAGGTCATGTGATCTGTGATTTTAAACAAATATCCTACTTCTGGTAGCTTATTTTAGAAATTGCTCCAGAGCAGCAGTAGCTTAGAACAAGGTTAACAACCTTAAGAAATCAAAGTCCATGCTGAACGTTAATTCTCCTCCCACCCTGTCCAACAAAGGCTATATTTATTTTCCACTGTTAATCTTTTTTTCCCCCTTCTTGCCAGTAAAAAATTTATTGACTAAGTGTGCACTGTTGTTTTTAACATGCAGATTAATCTTCTGATTAGGTGACTGAGTCTTTTTTGCTCAAGGGACATTTTGACAGCTGAAAAAAATTATGTTTGCTCTTACTGAGATTAATCTAAAAGCCCAAAAATGCAATTTGTGAAATGACCTAAAATCGCCACATCAAGTAGGAATCACAGAAGGAGGCCTGCAGGGTACAGCTGTAAATTGTTCAAATTGCCTGGAGCATAAAATCTGATTCATCTTATGGAGAAAGAAATGTTGCTGTATTTTGAGAAATCATTGTCAATAACATCTTCTAAACCAGTGCTGTCCAAACTTGGCCACTAAGATGAGTGGACTTCAACTCCCAGAATTCCCCAGCCAGCATGACTGGC